GGGGGGGGGGGGGGGGGGGGGGGGGGTGTACTCATAGTCGTGCATGCCGTAGTCGTTTGACCATTGACCTCGCATCCCTACAAAGCCGGGACGGAGCACGCCGGGTTCTCACCGGACCAGGCTCTCACATCACCAAGCGCGAAGCGCCGTGAGGTATTTGGCGAGTCGCATGAAGGGTGAGCTGCATCCTGCTAAGGGTGTTCGGCATCTTGTGCTTACTTCCTTGGGTACGGATGACAGCTACGTATGACTTAATTTTTTTTTTGGTGCTTTCACTTCCAGAGACAGTTGTAAGCACTGTGTAACTGCCTCGAGGAAGCTTGACCATTTTAACACGACGTGGTGCGATCATCCCCCGTTGCGGGGAGTGAGGTTTTTCGACCCCGCACAACATGTTTTATTCGACCCCCATTATGGTTCCCCCCAAAAAAAAAAAAAAAAAAAAAAAACGAGGTAAAAAAAAAAAAAACGGTAACCTGGTTGCCGAGTTCACGAAGCGAATTGGCTTGTTTTACGACGTCGTTGCCAAGCGACGAAAACCCAATCCCGATGGCAAACACCGAGTGGGGGGCTTGTTTTACAACGTCGTTGCCAAGCGACGAAAACCCAAACCCCGATGGCAAACACCGGGGGGGGCGGCTTGTTTTACAACGTCGTTGCCAAGCGACGAAAACCCAACCCCGATGGCAAACACCGGGGGGGGAGGGGGCGCGGAAAGCACGTCAAGGAACTGCCGCGGGACGCACAAACATGTGGTTACAAAAAATAATGCTCGTGTTTACCTCCATGATAATTTGTTTCAGGGCGCAGCTACTGCTTATTCTTGAGAGTCGCGCGTTTGCATGCTTAGCGGTATATACCCCCCCCCCTACCTCCCCCAGAGGATGAGGGTACAGTCCAAAGTAAGCACAAGCTTACCTAAGGTTAATGCCTATTGGTACGGCATTAAAAAATATACTAAAGTCCCCCATTGGGCGGTGGAGGACTTAGAGTTAAGACACCCCAAAACTCTCCGGCGTGAGATCCAAAATGGATCGGACGCTGGAGGGGGGGGGGGTGCTCGTTGCTTGAAGTGGACCAATATAACATAGAGCCATCCAAGCAAAGCTTACTACTCACCTGAACGACCTGACCAACCACGCAAAAACTGCGGAGCTAGATGTGCGGCACGCACAATGAATTGTTTTCGATTGGAGAGAGGCGAGTACAAAGCAGTAAGGAATTGTTGGCCAAACTTTCGGCAGATAGGTCTACTCGGGAGCGTAAGTGGGGTAGCAACCCATGGTGGAGCGTACATGAGAAGCTGGACGTTGGTGTACGATCCATCCCGGCGTGTGAGTAGGATCTTAGCCTATGCAAGTCGTCCCTGAACTTATTGTGGTGAAAATGACCTCCCAGGAGGAAAGTAGCCTGTACCGCGGGACTTCGGAGATGACAAATTGGGTGGTCGGGGGACGTCTGGGTGTTTACTAAGCAGAACGCCCGGCACAAGACTGGGGTACTTGTGCCAGGAGGTGTGAACTTGGATCTAGACTACGAGCCCATGTTGGAGGCGCTATTTAGCGTCGGTGAGCCGGCAAAAGAACTGAAAGGAACCACAACCCCCACCGGACACTCGGATTGGGAAGGCCGAGTATTCCGTATACCTTCCTGAAAAAACACGAAAAACAAGTGGCCGCGGTCCAGTTGCTGTAGAGATCATGAGGATGGTGAAGAAGCCGGGAGGATGGAAGCAGAAACTGTGGCAGGGAGACAGGTTGGAGCTGCTGCTGTTTGGAATTCCAAGGGACATGACGAGGATAGAGTTCAAGAACTGTTGTGACACGGAGGGACTGCATTGCCTAGCAAGGGGAGAAGTAGGCAGAGAGCATGAACATTTCCGGGTGAAATTGACCAAGGGAGACAGCCAAGAGTGCTTGGGGGTTGACATCGAGAAGCTGTCGAAATACGTAAGGAAGTTTGGATGGAGGGTTTGCGTCGCGAACATGATAGGAACAGAGAAGGTAAGGCGACAGGAGGCGAGGGCGATAGAGGCGAAGAAGAGACCGGGCGGGGGAGACGAGCAGGCAAATCAGAAGAACGCCGAGAAGAAGCGGAAGGCGAAGGATAGAGTGCGCAAAATCTCCAATAGGGAAAAGCACAAGCTTAGAGTGGGGTCGTGGAACGTGTGCGGGTTCGCAAGGAGTGAGCGCAAGCGGTTGGAAATAGTGGACCAAGTAGAACAAAGCGATCTGGATGTAGTGGGGATCCAAGAGACGTGGGAACTGAAGGATGGGGACGTGGTAAGCAAAATAGGGAAGTACCGATGGGTAGGGAAGGCAAGAAAGGGCTTAGACCCGAAGAAAAGGGGGGAGGGGGGAGTCGG